CTTGAAAAGTGTCACGAGAAAGTTTTGCAAGATTTCAATCGATTGAATCGCGAAACAATCGATTAAATCAACTTAGAAGATTTTTGTAAAGTGTTTTAATTGATATAAACGTTGTCATATCAGCTTAAAACAAATCTGTTAAAGAATCAAGAACGTATTAATGGATTAAAAGAAGTTTTAACAGATTAAAACTGCACTTTTAACAGATTAAAAGAATCTTTTAACAGATTAATTAAACCGAGCTTTTGAAAATCTTCTATAAAAACAAGTTTGGCTTGAACTTTTTAACATATATTGAATATATCATCTTTTACACATCCTTAAGCAATCAATCAATCGCTAATTGCGACCGAATTAAAGTGGGGGTTGGCTCGAGGTTAGAGTTCGACGTCACTAGGGTATGCGTTAGGGTTCGAGCTCCGCTGGGTTTGCGTTGGGTTTCACAAAGCATGACAATTGGGTTTGGCTTGACATTGGGGTTCGATGTCGCCGAAGTTGGGGTTCGGCGCCTCGAGTTCGTCGAGGTTGAGGCTCGGGGTTGAGATTCGAAGTTACTATTTGACATTTTTCTAGTAGTGATATTTACACTGATATATATTTATTTGTATATAAATATAATTTATTTGTAAGTTATTATCAAAAAATTCAAGTAGTTTAGTGGTTGGAGTATCGACCTCCAACTCTAAAGTACTTGGGTTCAAATCCCGCCAATGACAATTCTCTTAAAAATTAAAAAACTTCTAAAATATATAATATAAAGAGATGGAGGACCTAATAAAAATATAATATGAAGAGAGGGGAGACTTCTAGATAAATAAAAGGGGGTAAAGGGGTTGTAAATAAATAAAAATTATTAATTTAAAAAATCATACTTTCAATGTCGGTTCTAATAAACCGACGTTGAAAGTCGACTTATAACTGTATATTAGATAGCGGTTCCCTTATAACCGACGTTGAAAGCTTTATTTGTAGTAGTACGTTGTGGTTCGACTAGTAGTGCGACGGTGGTGCACAACGGCAATGTGCGACGGTGGTATATCATAGCTAGGGTTTTCATTTCGAAAATTAAGGAAGAGAAGTTTAAATGGCTTATAAATGGCGAGAGAAATTTAAATTTCTTTTTAAATGACTTTTAAATGTTATAAATGCGAATTTAAAATACTTTTAAAAACTTGACACCTTTTAATTTTATTTAATTTTATTTTTTTAAATAATTACACATGTCAAATAATGAATGAGTCATACCATTTCTGTTAGACAAGTCGACATATACTTAACGCCGTTTAAAATATGAACATATTTCAATCATTTCAAAAAATATAAAGATTATTTTTATGTGAATTATGACAGATGAACTATTTTCAATTTCACATGAAAGTATAGGGACTAAAAACATACTTAACCCTTAAAATATAAACGATAAATATTTTTGTTGTTAATTATCTTGATTTGAATACATTAGTGACTAAAATACAATTGTTAAAAAATTAGTTACTAAAACTTAACTATAATATAGTTGCTAAAACATTAATAAGTAATACATTTATTGTTGATTATTTATTTATAATATATTTTATCTTAATTCGAAAACATTAGAGATTAAAAATGTAGCAGTTAAAATATTAGTAATCAAAACCGATATTTTCGTTGCCAACTATTTCTTTTAATATAGAATAAAAATCCTTCCACTAAAAGATTAGCGACCAAAGTTTGGTGATCAATATTTTTCTCTTTAAATTTCTTATTTTGAACCTATTAATGAGTTAAAAGTGCAATTACCTTTTAATATTATAAATTTAAAATGCAACCGCTAAAGTACTAGGAGCCAAATATAAATGCATGAAGCTTTAAGGTTAACGAGAAATTTTCAGCACAAATTGTTTTAGAAACTTCAACTCAGTCATGAAGCTTTCCAATTCAATGTTATTTGGTTTTCTCCTTGGAGCTACCAAATACAATGTGATAAATATGCTAAAACCAGGAAAGTTTTCATTTTGAACAGAAATGTTCTGAGTTCACTATCATTTTGAGAGGAAGGTTAAAATTTATTTCCACCGACTCGGTACAACTTCCACAAAGTATTTTCATCTTCTCCTTTGACTTCCCATCGCCTTTTATAGAATCATAGCCTTTCATTTCATGGAAGTTCAGTGTTTAGTTGTGTCCTCTTTGATGTCTCTCCAACGCGTGATTCTGAAACTTACTAACATGAATTGTAGAGTTTATAGTGCCTTCGGCTAACTTTGTGTAGAATACCATTTTGGTCTCTTTAGCCATGACGAGACGGGTAAGAAATTGAAAATGATCATAAAAATGGAACACATGCAATATCATCATCCTCTCCTAATACATAATTAAATAAACTTCATGAAAATAACAGCATGAAAATGGTTATTTTTGAATTGGATTTAACTGAAGTTTTTCTCTATATTTAAAAAATTTGAAGTTCAGTCCGTGTCACACTTTCATACATTCTCCCGTTCATGTCCGATAATTTGAGTATCATGCTTTTCATGATTTTCTTCAGCTTTATTGTCATTATTATTTCTTCTTCCTCGATTTTTAAATTGACTACTATTCGTGATGTAGCATTTTGATCTCCTTTATTATCTTCCAATTCTTCTCAGTTTTACTCATTTGTTTCATCAACTTAAATATTCGGATCAACATCATGAATCAATTCATTAGATCACAAAAATGTATGTGAGTAGATGGATGATTTTTCTTCAACGTGTCCTTTACATTTAATTTCAGAGTCTTCTCCCAAATATTTCTCAATTGTAACTTGTACATTAATTCTATTCTTCTCTATCTTTACTCGAGAAATTAATCTTTCGAGCTTGTTCTTCAATTTTTAGTATTAGTCTTTCATTTTCAATACAGAGTATCTCTCTCCATTAGTTGTCACACATTGAAAAGATTACTCTTGAGATCTAGAACATAGAACACATCTCATATGGGCCTAACTAGGCCATTATTCTGCAAGAAACAAATAGTACCTCACCTTTTTACCAAAAAGGTTTGAATCATCTCCAAAAGACATATGACTACCCTCAAATTTCTCCAATTTATTAAATAGGTGTTCCTCCCCACATATATGATTGCATGCACCAATGTTTAAATATCATGTCAAACCTTTTGAGTTGTAATCTGCTCCTGAATGTATTATCGAGTTATGATCGACATATGCTCCCTTGTGTATTACCGAGTTCAATTTTTGTCTATTTTGTGAGATAGTCTCTTCCACCTTTTGACATTGTGTTCAACCTCACAATCATTTGTATAGTGGTCATATTTGTCACATTTAAAACACTTAACATTATAATGATTCGTAGATTGACCTCCTCTTCAACCACGTTCACTACCTCGCCAATTTTGTTAATCTCCTTCTTCCTTCTTGCGACCTTAGCCTTGATCACTACGTCATCATTCTCATCCTCTATCTCTATTATTTTGATAATAGAGAATCTTCTCATCTTTTGTCTTTGGAGCAATTGTCCAATCATTTCCTTTTTCTTTTTCTTTTTTGGGTATTCATAGGCTTCAACAAAAGTGACCAACTCTTTTATTATAATCTCAGACAAGTCATTTGTTTTCTCTATTGCATACACTATGTTCTCAAATTCATTTGTTAATGACCGCAAAATCTTTTTAACGATTTATTCTATGGAAAATGTCTCTTCATTCTGATTAAGCTGTTTCGCCACGTTTTCAATGCGCAAGACATATTCAAAAACTTCTTTCAAGATTCATTTATTCTCATACTCTCCATCTAACTACACAGTATTTATCGTCGAATTCGTGTGAGTCGGCTATTGTTCTTGTACTCCTTCTCCGATGCTTCTCACGCTTTGGTTGCAAAGATGTAGCTTCTGTAATTTTCTCAAAATCGAAATCTTCTATGACTCGAAATAACATAAATAAAACTACACTACTATTCAAACATTATTTCTTCAATGCCTTAAGAGCGGAGGTTGTCCTTCTTTATGTGGTTTTGAGTTATTCAAAACCTTCTTTTACTACTTCCCAACAATCTTGATCTTTGATGAGAATCTTCATCTAAAGACTTCATTTATTATATCTAATGTTCTTCGTTAGTCGGGAAACAATTAAAACATTCATCAAACCAATCATTTTCACTTCAACTTTTTTTTACACTAAAAAGCTATAACTTTTTGGAGAAACCCTAGTTCTTCTAAAAAAACTCAAACTCTTACTAATTTGATAATAAAAAATTTCAAAAAAATAACTTTTATTAATTCTTTGTCATACTTCAATAAGAAATATAATGATTTATTTATATACTACCACAAAACCCTAATTTTATTTTAAGAAATAAAAATTTTCGAAATCAAATAATAATTACAAAGATATTATCTATATCAAAATATCTCAATAAATTCCTAATTATTTTTTTTATTTAATTTCATTATAATAAACTCTTGAAGTAACTATCTTTTTAATTTAATTTTATCCAACATTTTACCAGTACTGTAACCAATTGAAAAGCAACATTTTTATAAACTGTACTGTTGAAAGTCTTAATATATGTATATACACACGTCCACCAACAAATGAAACATCGTATGTAAAATTATTTATTGATCACGCCTACACTATAGTATACACCCACGTTTTAACATGAACACCATCATCCCACCGTATCCCTTGCCACCATTCTCTTCTCTTTTCCCTTCTTTTTCGAAGTGGCCATGAAGAGATAAAAGTGCTTCAGCTCCAACCTCCATACGCTAGTAAAAGTTCCATTGTCGGAAAATTCATCAAACAGACGTTAAACAACGGCAAGGAAAAAGCATACAAAACGTTACCAAAATATGTATATGTTCACATAATGAAAGCCATTTCACAAGGGAAGAAGGTCAAATTAGCGTTGACTTGACTTGACTTGTACCATGTTTTGATGTCAAATCCCATATATTTGCCGCTACTCACCAATGATCACATGAACAACCAATTCGAGTTCGATATTAATAATCTGATCAGTTTCTGAAAATAATAGGGAGAACTATGACCAACACGATAATGAAGAGGAGTATGGCAAAACAGGTCAAGTTACGGGTGTTCTTCTGATGATTCTTCACAACCTGCAAATGACGCACCCCTTTGCTCACGGTGGAATTTGCAAGCGCCACGTGGCTCTCTATGTCATCCAAGTGTTCACCCTGGTGTTGGATCAACACTGCCATGTCCAAGAACACTTGATGCAGCTCGTGTAGACTTCTCTCTATCTCTTTTACCGTACCGTGCCTCTCCTGAATCTCTTGGATAGTGTCCATGATGGTGGCTCTCCCTTGCTCTTTGATGGCTTTCTGTAAGAAAGTTTCACTCTCACCTGCTCCATCACAATGCACACATATATGTGCCATGGTGCCATCAATTTTACACACAATAGTAATCAAAAGGCCAAAAAAAAAAAGCACCGAAAATTTTGTCTACCACTGATTATTTTTGTGCATGCAATTAATCTTCACGTGCTCAATTATACTGCTCATTATCTAACTAAATTTTTGCCTCAAGCAATTAAATGTGCACTTTATATTTAATGACAGAAAATATATAATTCCATAATTTCAGAATAAGGTTTGATTTGATATATGTATATATGGAGTTTAGATACATTAACAAGAGAATTTTCTTTTCTCATCACTTGACAGGCGATAGCTGGTGTCTCAATTTCTCTCTAATTTTCCTATAAATTATTATACTTCGAAACTGAAATCGCTGCACCCAAAGGTAAAAAATTGAGCATGATAATCATACTAATGAAAAATAACTTAATTTACGTAATAAAGTCTTAAAAAGTGAAATACCAGAAATTTTCTCTGGTACGTATAAGGCATCTCGGAGACTTAAAACACACATAAAACTGAGTAATCAAATAACAAAAAAGAACTTAATCTACATAAGCTGTCTACGGAATCTTTTACAGGTCTAAAGAATTTTAATCTGTGAAATATCTACAGTTTTATTTTTATATACACAAAACTTCTCAAAGACTTGAATGCATATCTACACATGCATACGTATAAACATTACTAATTAATTGACATTCATTTTTTTAACAGATTAATTTACTTAAAGAACAAAATATATAGTATATGGTGTATTTTTGTTACTGTTCTTCCATCTCAGTCAGATTTCACCTTGTTAATCTATGTAAAGAATAGTACTAAAAGTACCTCTTGGAAGAAAAAAATGTGATTAATTGTTACCCGTAGAGATGAGGAGGTCAATGGTTTCTTGATCAGGGTTCTCTCCGGTGACAGCGTAGTATCTACGTTGCAAGGTGTCTCTGTACTCGTACGATATCTGCTCTCTCAGCTTATTGAAACTCTCCATGGACTGTTTCAGGTTCTTGAACAAGGCTCCGACCAATGCGGTTCGGGTCCGGTCGGAGTACGAACCGGGTCCGCAATCGGGCAAGGAGAGGGTGGCTTGGTTGGCGCGGTGGAGAGCCTCCAAGTGAGTCTTCACTAGCTTGGCTTTGGTGAGAGCAAGAGCCACGTCCAGGTCCATGCGAGACCGAAGCTCCCTAACGCCCTTCGGGCTGTGAAGCGCTTTTCCATTTTGATTTGAGGCACGGAGACTTAGGTGGAGACGCTCTATTTCCTTCAGTTCTTCCTTCACCGATTCCACTTCTAGGAAGAACTTGTCCAAGTCCATGCCACCTTGTGTTATTTCGATCACGTGCTGCTCTTGTTGTTGCTGCTGTTTTCCCTTTGAGAACAAACTCGATAACAAGTCGTTCATTCTATTGATTCTCTCCTTCGTGCCTTAAGATAACACAAATAAACAAGAAAATCTTTCTTATCCAACTTAAACAGGATTGCCTCTTCTATATGATGCTGTCTGTAACAGAAGAGAAAGAAAGTCTGTTGGGATAGGGAAGAAAATCTATCTTATTAACTCAAGCATAACTGTCTTTTATGAAAAATTCTATGACATGAGAAGAAAGAAAGTCGTTTAAGCTAACAAGAAAGTTCTTTTTCTATTCTAGTAGATACTGTCTGTGACAACAGAAGGAAGAAAGTCATTTTGATAGAAAGTAAGATCATCTCTCGTTAAGGATACTATCTGAAACAAAAGAAGAAAAAGTTCGTTTGAGAGATAGCAAATGAAGGGATGTGTAGTGTTATATAGGGTGGTTAATGTACCTGTGTCTTTGCTTTTCATTGAAACTGAAGTTGGTGGTGAATAAAATCCAACCCGGCCATTGTACTTGGAGAGGAAGAAAAACAGAAAAGAAGATAATTATCTGGTCAAATGGATGGATCAGTGATTTGATTCTGTAGATTTATTATATACTTTAAGCATAAGGAAAAGTGGAACATAAAGAGGAAGCACCCCACAAATAGACGGAAGAGGGAAAGGGTTGGTAAATTAGTTAAGAGGAAGAGTTCTGAAAAGTTCGTTTTAGCACTTTAATTCATGAACTAGTTATGCATTAAATATTTTTAGTAGCTAGTTTGGGTGAAACTATGGTTGAAATGTGGTGTTCTACGGCGTGTACCGGCTGAACATGAAGCTTCCTATGAATACTTGGTCCTTGGATGTTGGAACTAGTTTTCAGTACAAGGTTTATCCAAAATAAACTTTCTTTTCATATTGTGTTAGTATTATAATTTCTTTCTTTTTTTAAAGATTTTTTATTTTACATTGCATAAACGTGAAACTATACAAGAGTAGCGATTTCAACACATTTTTTTAATGCGTCTTTTTAACAACTCAAGATTATTATGGAAATTACATAATAAGAACCAGACAGATTAAACAAGAAATATGAACTCACAACTCTTTATAATTTTTAATAAATTTTTCTTTTTTATTATTCAAAATATTATGATATAAAATTTATTGTTAATATATATATATATATATATATATATATATATATATATATTCACTTTTAATCCGTTTTAACTTGTTGATTGCAAAGTGTACTGTATAAAAATTAAAATGAATTATGTGCAAAGAATAATAACGTATTTAATTTTTAAGTATAAGATTAAAATGTTAAACTTGTGTATTTATAATAACTAAAAAATTATTATATATATATATATATATATATATATATGTATATAATTATTTTTATCTCTATCTCACTTAACTTTAAAACCTAAGATGAAAGGAACAACTTTTTCTTGTTTTTCATTCATATTTTCAAAGGCAAAATTTATTTATAATATATTTGAGAACTTTTCAATTATATATAGTATTTTATATTAGGAATGTTGGTGAAATAATGGATCAAGATTCATTTTTATCCAACTCAAAAAAAAATTAATAATTAAAAAATGTATTTTTAACTTAAACTCAACTCAAAAGAACATAGGAAATTAGATATAATCTTTTTTGTTGACATATTATAATATTATATATAGTTAAATTGTATAATTAGAAAATATATAACTACAATTAAGATATATTATTTTGATTGCATGGATATATTTTACAATATACAGTATCTCAAGTGAATTAATAATATCAATATAAATATGATACAATGTTATAAAAATATAAGTTTAATAGTTATATACTAATTTTATACTGTTAACAAGTTATAAATAATAAGTAATATAACTTTCAACCCAGTTAACGGAAAAATCAACAAACTTAATTAACATTTATAATAATTTATTATTAGATAAAAATATAATTTTTATATTTCTAAAAATATTATCGACTAATTTTAAATATTATTAGTAATCATAATTGAAAGCAACGATGGAGGAGATTGATGGAAATGTCCTTATATTTCTCAAGAGATGATTTTGATGATGATTCAAGTCAACTACATTCAAGTCAATACCATTTAAGATGAATTAAGGACAAGTTAAATTTATGACGTTGGTGACAATGTGAAACATTTCTCTACATGCCCAAGATATGTTTTTTATAAAGATGATGATTAAAGCAAGCCCAAGATGATTCTTGAAGACTAGATAGAGTCTTAGAATACTGGATATGAAGGTACAAGTTGATGAAGTAATATGATGCATAAGTCTTCAAAGCACAAGTGTGATAAAATTCATAACATGATATTTTTCACTATCATAATCAATTATGATGCATCAGAAATGGAAAAATTATTTTCTCTATCATAATTAATTATACTAGTAACATAATCAATTATGACAATTCAAATTTGAAAAATATATCTGTTTTGAAGAATAAATATTTTTTAATATATCCTGATTTTTATTCACAAAAATATTAATGTCCAACTGCCATTTTCTCGATGCTATTTTTCTATTTAATTAAGTTTTGATGATAAAAAAACATAATTACAGAATTTGAAAATACAATTTACATTCAATCAATTTTAAGAAAAGAATTATGAGCAAGGCAACAGAGATATTTTACACCTTCTGAGAAAACTCTCTTCTCTACTGCCTTCTGTACTCTCATTGTTAATCACACTTGTTTTTGGAGATTAATATTCTACAGGCTTCTACAACTTGTTGTCTCCATTACCTAGGTGTGATGGTTATTATTTTTATTACCTTCATCCTTTATGTATTGGTAGCAAAGGAGGTACTTTTCATCCCTAGTGTGATTCTAGGGAGGTGTTCATCCTTAGTGAGATTCTAATGAGGTGTTTTCATCCTTTGATTTGTTCAAAGGAGGTTTTCATCCTTTGATTTGTTCAAAGGAGGTTTTCATCCCTAGTGTGATTCTAGGGAGGTGTTCATCCTTAGTGGGATTCTAAGGAGGTGTTCATCCTTTGATTTGTTCAGAGGAGGTGTTCATCCCTAGTGGGATTCTATGGAGGTGTTCATCCTTAGTGGTTTCTAAGGAAGTGATTGTTTTTTTAATTAATTTACTTTTTATTGGTTCTTCTGCTGAGTTGATTGTAATTTGTAAACTGAATTTGAAAGATAGTGAATTGGGAGTAACTATTGTGTTAAGAGTTGACTGGGAACTGGATGTAGGGTTGACTATACCCGAACCA